TTGTTTATTGTAGATTGGACTACCCTCTACGATCGATCTCATTCAGTACAGATAGTCAACTGATAGCTTGCGCAAGTGAAGATCATTTCATTGATATTTGTTGGGCAGAAAATGGTGCAAGGTTTCCTTTTCTATTTTCAAAATTATATCATCATTGTTTTTTTTTTTTTTAATTTTTTTGAAAATTTTTTTTAATTTTGGTTGTAAAATTTAATTTGTATATTTTAGAGTACATGAACTTCGAGTGAACGCTGAAACGTTTACGTGTGCTTGGCACCCGAGTATGTATCTGCTTGCGTACGCTTCAGCTCCATCATTGGACAGTCGTGATCGAGAAGTTACAGTAAACATTTTTGGATTTACTATGTGAAATAAATATAACATGCAACAGAAAATTAAATAAAGGAAAAGAAACTATTTTATATACTAATAAAAATGGATATTTACATTGTTATGAATGAAACTTACTGTGCTTGAGCATGGAATTGACAGAATTTTGTTAAATTTGTTGAACAGTTAAGGTTTACGAGCTTTGCGACATGTAAAGCAGCTCTTAGCATGACATTTCATTGTTTACATTCTTATTTGTATGAAGTCAGGAAGTTCAGATTTTTGTTTACCTTGAAAATTTATGTATTTTTGCTCGAGTTTGCTTCCTTATAAATATTATGAAACAATTCTGCAGCTTTAGTCCTATAGTTCACACCAAATCAGGAAATCCTTACAACTTGCAGAAAGGATTACTCAGTTAACTCAACTAACAGGCGTGTTTGTTTACGTTCTCCAATATTACCAAAAGTCATCGCAACACTACTGATTTATTCTTGGACATGTAGCATCACATTTAAAATGTAACAGCATAAAGCCGCTTATTTAAAAAGCATAAAAATCGTTTATTTAACTATCAACAGCAAAAATCACAACTGAGCTGATAAAATAATAAGTCTGCCTGAGTTCATAAAACAGTTTAAACCTGAGTACAATGGCGGAGGAGTGATGCAGCATGATAAAGCTACATTTTGAGGTAGTCAAACAGCAAATAAAATAATCATTAAGGAAGTGAGGTCACGAACAATTCCTGAGTAATAATCATAATAATGACGATAACAACGTATACAGCAATCACTATGAAACACGCGGATTAGTAAGGCTGGAATAACAAAGAAAAACTGTAATGAAAAAAATATGATGAGTCAAGGAGAGGTAGAGAGGAAAAGACAGAGAAAGGGAAGAAGATTTCGGCTATTATAAAACATGCTTATGATGGAATATAAAACTACAAAAACTAACTACCATTTAGGCGCCTATGAATGCAAATAAAACAACAAAGGATAAACCTAGTCAATTGCCTATGTATTAATTTATTTGTAATTTTTTCTCATTTTTTTTATAAAATATAAAACTTGATGTTTTTGAAAATAAAATGTAAGACTTTTCAGTTTCTGGTAATTAACCGCAACGTTAAACCCATATCTTCTAATAATAACATCAAATAGCTGTATGGTCCTAACTAAATGGCACTTATATTAGACTGTTAAAGCATAATGAGTTAAGAAAGCCGAAACAGAAAGCCAGAAATACGAATGTAAAAAAAAAGAAAAAAAAAACTTTCAAAAAGTAGTTTTGTAATAAAAAAAAATTCGCTTTTTTTTTTCGTTTCAAATATATATTCATATATATTTGGAACAAAAAAAAAGCCAATTAGTCTGAAACAAACCGAACCAATGCCCTTATATGCTATTATGACATGCGCCAAAAAGTAAGAAATGGAAATAAGAGATTTGCAACAAACGATAAGTCTTCCCTTTTGGTAGCCTACGATGCCAAGTAATTTGGAAGAATCTCGAAAATTAAAGGATTTAAAATCTCAACAGTTACTGTCTCTATTAGCATCCTCTTTGTCATTGGTGATTTCCTTCATCTTCGAACCAGTCTTTTCTTTTTTCATCTTTGACTGAACTTGTTCATTGCTCTCTACTTTTGCCTCTTTCTCATTCTTATCATATCCTTCGTTTTTCTTTGTTTTGTTGCCGTCCTTAAAATTTACTTTTTGTGGGCAGTCAGTAATCAGATGATCGGTTGCATGACATCCATAGCAAGCTTTCTCAGCTCCAAGCGATGTTTTACATTTCGCTGCTGTATGATTCCCGTAATGACCACATTTAAAACATCTGCAACTATGAAATAAGCAAGTACATAAACTAACACTTTCCATAAAAAAAAAGGGAAAAAAAAACAGATGCCAAAACATTTCCATAATATCTTGCACACATTTCATTGAGTTAAAAAACCTTTTGTTACTTTTTGTTTTTTCACGGGTCAATGGTCTTCCTAGTCAATCTAATCTGAAAGGAAAGTGCCACTTATATACATCAAGTGAAATAAAAAAATTCAGTTAATAGAACGTCGTTTGACGAAAAAAACGCCCTTATAAAATAGCATGCATTATCAGGCTTGTAAAGAATAAAAGCGAATGATACTACCTAATCATTCAGATATTCGTTATAATAACACATAGGAATGGCAAGATTAAGTTGGAAACAAGGTAAAATTAAGATAAATTAAATTAAGCATTACATTTCATCAGTTCATTCACTTTCTAAACAATGGGAAAAAAAGGTGATATAAACCAAGACCTTATAGCATGTGACTTATACTTCCCAAGAGGCCTGATAGAACTTCCTTTCAGCTTCCCACCAGGTTCTGCACTTACAACAGCCGTTGCCTCGTTACCTTCTGGCCGTCTTCGAATCACAAAACGAACACGTTCACCGGCATCCAAACTTCGAAAACCATCCATATTTAATTCAGACTGTAACAGAAAAAAAAAAGAATTACGTATACTATTTCATTATAAGCAATTAGAACCATATTCATAACGTTTTTCAATATGCTAACAATAATAAAAATGGTTGAAATTTACAAAAGTACACTTATTAAAAATAATTTAAAAAAAAAAAAAAAACTTGAATAAAAAAACTCCACTTGCCTGATGGACAAATACATCATCACCACCTTCATCAGGTGTAATAAAACCATAACCTTTCAAAACATTAAACCATTTACACGTCCCAACTTGTATCACTTCCTTTCCTTCACCCATTGATGGTAAATACTACAAAAGCTTTTTATTAAAACAAAATTGAGCTAAATAAATTTTTTTAAGAAAAAAAAAAGGAGAAGAAAAAACTCTCATAGTTAATATATCCACTCAGTACGTGTTCACTCAACACTTCACAAGTAATCCCGTCCTAACTTTACGCCAAAACGTCAGTTACGCCACCACTAAATGATTGTATGATTGCGTAGCCTCACTGAATTACGATGAACGACCATAACTTTAGCACAATGCAAATATTTTGCTCCAAAGGAATTTTGTGACTGTTAAAAGGAGGCATGATAAGAGGAGCAATGAGATGCTTAATTGATTATCAGAAAAGTTTATTAGGAATTAACAATTTAAAAATTAAATACTGAAATGTACTGAAATACTGAAATACTGAACTTGAAAGATGGAAAAAGAATTATTGAACTACTGATATTAACTGGAATATTTGACAGAATTACTGAGCTGTTAGGAGATAATCAAGAAATTTGAAAGAATTAAATTCTCCTATTGCTAAATTAGAAGATTTGTATTTAGTTATGAAGTTACAATACTAAATTACTAAGTTAATAATAACATATTTCAATCAAAAAAAGAAAAAACAAATAAACAAGCAAAAATTTATACAAGCTATTCAATTAAAGTATTACAGTGCTCAAATGGATAAATGAATAATAAAGAAATCTTTCAATAAACAAATCCAAAATTATTTATGTTTAAATGAGAAAAAGTTGCTTATGATAATGAAAAATTTTCGAAATTACATCATTTAATTTATTAATTTGATCTGTTCGGATGACTTGAAAATATAGTTCGAATCAAATTTTATTTAATCACTAATCTAAGTTATTATCAACATAACAGTGATAGGTGATGCATTTGAAATTTCCACTGAGAATATTTTTGCACCAAAAATATTTTTGAATAATTTCGAAAATTTTTGAAAGAAAGAAAACAAATTTTCAAAGTTCTCTCTGTCTCTCTTCTTCACTCCCTCTCTCTCTCTCTCTCTCTCTCTCTTTTTCCCTTCCCCTCTATTATTTATTGAATTACAATCATTTTATCCTTGAATATCAATAAAAATTTCTTTCGACTTATTAAATTGATGTGAGTTTAGACAATTTCCAAATTTTTTGTGTTTGAATTTTATCTGAGATAAAATAAAGCAAAATTATGTAACCAATTTTACGTAAAGTTTCTCGTAGCGTACATTTCGGAATTATATAATTACCTCTTTGTATCGTTATTAAAAAAAAAGGAGGGAAAAGAGGAAGAGAGAGAGGGGAAAGAGAAAGGGAGAGAGAGGGAGAAGAGAAAGAGAGAGAGGGAGAAACATTTTCAATTATTTTCTTAATTTTTTATCTAATTTTTCCACGTTCCTTTCATTATTATATTTTTTTCTCAATGATAATTATTATTTCATTTAAAATTTCTTATCATTTAACATTTAAATCATTCCATTCCTTTAACAATTTACTCCTTTTCCATCTTTTTTTCTCTCTTTTTTTCATTCCAAAAAAAAAGAAATTTTTTTCTTTGCCTAAATTATCATTTTAAATTATATAAGCAAAAAGAAAAGAAAAATAACAAATATATAGATTGGTTAATTCATATGATATTAATATAATTATAATTTTAATAAACTGAATTAAAAATATAATGAAAATTTGACAAATATATTTTGAAATTATTTTGTTTTCGTAATTTGTTTTTGTTTTTTGTAAATCATTCGAGTATTTTGATTTCTTGCATTTTTTACTTAACAAAATTTTAATTTCCAATTGAAATTTGACTGATTTTCCGTTTTCTATTATTATATTATTTCATAAATCTTGTAAAATCGTTTGTTTTCTTAGAACTGAATTGTTTTTTCATTTGTTTTTTTAAGTTATGAATGAATAGTGAAATAAGAAAAAGAGAAAAAGGTTTCTTTTTTTTAAAATTCTTTTATTAAATATAAATATTTAAAAGTTTTTAGTACCAATATGTTCTTTTTCGGAAATTTTTATATAATTTTTTTTTTTCAGAGAAATTAAACTGATGATTCATTTCATATTTTTGCTAGCTCAAATTCCTAAAACATATTTAATTTCATTAATAATTAGCATAATTATTATCATATGAAATGGATGTGAAACATTTCATCAGCAACTTTGGTCTATAAATAAAAATAAAAAGGAGACAGTTACATTATTACCAAAATTTCTACAACTGGACGACAACTTACAAGAAGTAAGTTAAAATAGTAATGACTGATTAACAGTTAATCATTAATCACTCAAAATAGTAATTAAATAAGGATTGAAAAATCTTTGCTAATAAAGCTTAAATCTTTTTTTATATTTTTATTTTAAAATTTTATTTCTTTCGCAGTTATACCATAAACTTCTTTTGATAAATTAAAACAATACGAACTGCTTAATTTACTAATAACTTACTAATTAGTAACTAAATAAAAGCAAAATTTCAAGCATGTGCATTCATTTCAAATTTCTCTTATCATAACTAACTCTTCACCAGATTTTATTATTAATTAATTATTTTTTGAATGAAGTAACATCATTTATCATAACATTCCTTCCTATTTCAATGCTAATCAGAAATTTCTAATTAAATTTCATTTTTGAGGATACTGAAGAGAAAGAATATGATAATGAATGGGTGGTGGAAATAGTTGGTGGATTGGAAGAAGCAAAAGATATCGCTCGAGCAGTCGGATATAAATTTATTGCACCTGTATGTTTCTATATTTTAATATTTAAAGTTAAGTGACGAGATCTTTTAATTTAAGTATTTTGAAAATTTTAATTTAATATTGAAAGTCAAATAGTAGAATTTCTTGATTAAAACATTTTCAAATCTTTGATTTACTCCATTTCTTTTTTTTGCTTTTTTTTTTATTTTCTGGAATAATCAAAATAATTTTGCATTAGTATATCAATATTATATTTTATCATGCAATTAAATTTCAAAATTAAATTTTATCCTATTCAAATTTAAAATTTTATTTTAGGTTCGTGGTTTTAATGATGTCTATATTTTTTCGAAAGAAAATTATAGAAAAAAACGAAAAGCAGATGATAAATCAACATTAGCACTTTGTCATCATAAACAGGTTTGCACATAATTTATTTTTTTAATTCTAAAATTTCAAGCTTATATATTATTATTATTATTAATTATTTCCATCTTAAATCTGAACACATTCTTTTTCTTTTTCTCTTTTTGTTGCAATTTTTAATTTGCAAAATATATGAACAAATTATGTTCCAATAGGTTTATCAATTTTATAATTCATTGAAGAAGAAAAACAAACAAACAAACAAACAAATAACCAAAGAATTGTTTTAAAACCAGCCTTTTCCCTTTTTTTTTCTTTTTTTTTTCTATGAAAACAAGGAGAGAAAGGGAGAGAGAGAGAGAGAGAGAAAAAAAAAATTTTTTAAAGGTACTTTGGGTGGAACAACAGCGAATTCACAAACGTTTTAAGCGTGATTATATCACTCAAACTTCTCGTAATGATACCAATTATAATAATAAAATTTTTTTCAATGATCCATTCTGGTCTCAACAATGGAATTTGGTTATGATTTTTTTTTTAATTTTATTCAATATTTTAATTAATTTGTGTCTAATGATGAAAAAACTTTTGAAAAGTTTTAGAGAGAGAAAAGATCTAAAGAAAAAGAAAATTTTCATGAACAAATCAATTTGTAATAATTTAAAAATTAATATCATATGATAAAATTTTGATTATGTGAATTCTCATTTTATTTAATTAAACTATATGAAGTAGTGATCATTTCATTTAAATAAACTTTCCTCAGTTTAAAAAATTTTCCTATCATAATAAGTAGAGAAAAAAAAAAGAAACGAAACAACAAAAATAATGATTAAATATTAAATTGATAATTGAAATTAAATAAGACTTATAATTTTGTTTATGCTTAAAATTAATTAAAATCTAAACTGAAGACTAATTAATCTATAAAAAAGTGATAATTCTGCGAGCTAAAATTTGCAGAGTAATGAAATAATTTAGAAAAGCTCAAGGACTATAAATGGTGAACCAATCAGTATGCATGTGATAAAAGCCTGGGAACTCGGTTATACCGGAAAAGGTGTCGTCGTGACAATACTGGTCGAAAATTTATTTATTAAAAATTTTTCAAATCTTTCGCAGCGAATTTAATTGTTATTATATATTTCAATTAAAACTATTATCAAAAACTTATATTATTATTTCAAAAAAACTTCAATAAAACTAATGGAATTATCAAAATTGCATTATACTCCTTTGACCATATTGTTCTGATAATATATGTTTCAATTAGCTGATAAGCAAGTATCATTCGAAGATTGAATTAAAACTTGATACATACAACTTTGCCATTACCAGAAGATGCATATTTCAAATTCAGTTATCCTTAATTAATTAATTAATTAATTAATTAACTAGCTTATTTATGACATTCAAATCTACGGCAGTATTTGTGGTAACATTGATAAATTGAAAATAATTGCTAAAATTCAGAAATGAATTGATAATTTTCTTATTTTAGGATGATGGTATGCAACATAATCATACAGATATTATTCGTAACTATGTTTGTTTTTAATACTTTATCAGTTTTTTTAAAAATTAGTAATTTCAAAAAAATAATTAAAAAATAATTATAAATATGTAATTATAATTATAAGAAATTGAAATAAATAATTTAAATTTGAAAAGGCAAAGAAATAAAGATTTTTCACATTACTGAAAATTTATTTATGCTAGCTAAATTTTAAATGATAATAATTTTTTATTTTTTCAGGATCCTCTTGCCTCATATGATTTAAATGATAATGATCCTGATCCAATGCCAAAATTTAACAAAATGAATAGGTATATTTGTTAATTAAATGAATGAATATAATAGCATTGAATAAAAAATTTTTTTAAATTAATTTTATTAAGCTTATTAATCGATTTACTAAATATCAATAATTAGTTAATAAATTTTTAGGCATGGTACTCGGTGTGCTGGTGAAATTGTTATGACACCAAATAATTCATTTTGTGGTGTTGGCATAGCATATAATGCTAAAATAGGCGGTATTTTTTCTACATTATTTACACAAATAATTTATTTTATTTACTTATTAATCAACTGATCAACTGATATGATAATACTGATAATTATTCTAATTGATCCATTAAATATCTGTTGTTAGTTTATTTTTTAACAAAATTGATTTTAATTTATTTTTTCTTTTTTAACAGAAATATTTATCACTTTTTCTCTCCTTTTTATGAATGATTTTTTTGCTAGCAATTTCTGTTTATGCGTTATTTTGTAGGTATACGAATGTTAGATGGTAAAATTACAGATCGAATTGAAGCAGAAGCTTTAAATTATAATATTAATTATATTGATATTTTTTCTGCTAGTTGGGGACCAATGGATGATGGCAAAACAGTTGAAGGCCCTGGACGATTAACACAAAAAGCAATTTTAAAAGGCATTCAACAAGTAATTGAAAAGTTTTTTACAAAAATGAAGCAAATACTTGTCAAAATTATACGATACGATAATAAAACATTCGATCTTTCTTTTTAAAAATATTTCGAGACGAACAGTTAGAAATAGTTTTTCTTTTTTTAAAATAGTATTTTTTGTTTGTTAAATTTAAAAATTTCTTTTTTCTTTTTTATAGGGTCGAAATGGTAAAGGTGTCATCTATGTTTGGGCATCAGGTAATGGCGGTATGCAAGATGATGACTGCAGCTGTGATGGTTACATGGACAGTATTTATACGTTATCAGTTTCAAGTGTAACTGAAGGTGGTACCTCACCGTGGTACGCTGAAAGATGTGCTGCCACCTTGACATCAACATTTTCAAATGACCACTATGACAAGCAAATGATAGTAAGTTGATCAAATTTATTGAGATGCAATATATTTGTCTTGTTGTTGTTGTTGTTATTGTTTGTTGTTATTTGTTGTTTATTGTTTGTTATTGTTGTTTTTGCTATATATTTGAAATTAAATTTGTAGCTTGAATAGTTGTGCTAAAATTTTGCAGTTTTTTTTTTTTTTTAAATTCTTTATAGGCAACAACTGATATAGAAAATAAATGTACTGGAACATTTGCTGGAACATCAGCATCAGCTCCAATGGCTGCAGCAATTATAGCTCTGGGTTTAGATGCAAAGTTTGTCAAATTTTCCAAATTACTTTTAATTAACTTTAGTTATTTACTTGTTTAATTTTAATAAACACTCGTGCTTAATGAATAACAATTTAAGTTTTACATAAAATGAAATGAATTTTCATTGCTATTAAAACGACATTTTTTTTTTTCTTCTCAAAGCTATTATTTGAGGTTTTTTCAACGTATATTGCATTAAGATATATTAAAAGATTTAAATACATTAAATTTGAATATAAAATACATAAATACTGAAAACTGTTTAAAAAAAGCAAATAAACTCAAAAGTTTAGCAAATTATGTATCACAAATATCACAGTTTCAAACTTCATTTTTCTTATGCTCTCAAATCATATTGCATACATAAAATTTAAAGAATTAAAATTTTAAATTATTAATTAAAAAACAAAATACTAAATACAGTCCATCATTAACATGGCGTGATGTACAACATATTACTGTTTGGACATCAGATCCTATGCCATTGCTAAATATTAACAATGGATGGAATAAAAATGCTCGAGGATTACTGGTAAATTCACACTTTGGATTTGGTATGATTAAAGAATTTTATTTTAAATAAAATAAAGCACTAAAACGCTTTTTCGTTTTATTATAGTTACAAAAATAAAATTTGCGATTTATCAAAATGCGTTTATTAATACTTCAAAAATTTCAATAGGATTAATGGATGCAAGCGCATTTGTCACAGTAGCAAAAACATGGAAAAATGTACCAGCGCAACATGCTTGTACCACTATTTTTCCAACTTTTTCAAAACGGTAAAAGCACTTTTAGAAATTAATGTATTTTTTAATTGCTACAGTATACCTTTAAATTTTTGAATATCACAGTAAGAAAGCAGAATTAAATTATTATGCTGTACTTTTCTTCTCTCAATTTTCTACCACTTTTTTGAATTTCTTTTTCTGTGCAAAGATTATTAACAATTATTTAGTGAAATAAATGATAAAAGTGTAACTGTTATCAAATTTCAAACTGATGGCTGTATGGGACAAAAAAATGAAATAAATTTTTTGGAACATATACAATTGGTATTAGATGCATATTATCCAATACGTGGACATCTTTCCATTTTGATTATTTCTCCAAAAGGTAAAAATTTTTTGTATTTCTTGAATTTAAAAAAAAAAAAAATCTGATAAATTTTATTTTATAAAATTAAAAAAAAAAAAATCGTTTATTTTTTAGGTACCAAAACTCAACTTCTTTCTGTTCGTCGGCGAGATAAATCATCAGCTGGCTTTCAACATTGGCCATTTATGTCAGTTCATACTTGGGGTGAGAATCCACGTGGAATATGGCAATTACATATTGAGGACAAGGTTAATTGGCTTAATTTATCACTCACTGTAGCATTATTGATCTTTTAAAATTTTTAAAAACGATAGAAAAGGGTTTAAATTTAAGCTATCTGCAAATTAAGCTAATTCAATTACATTCATTTGAAATTGTCAACAAAATTAACCAAGAAAAATTAACTAACCAAGAAATTTGTTAATTATTGACTGACAGACTTTTTATGTTGAAAGATTTAAAAAAAAAAAATAGTTTAATTTCCTAAAATTCTTTATTTACCCCGAAAATATTGATTAAATAATAAATTTTTAATCTAAAAAAACTAGCAAAAAAGGAACCAATCATTAGTGAAATGAATTTAATTGCTTCACTTATCATTTTAAATTTAAACTTTAAAATATTAAAGAGTATGGCAAATAAAGCAATGACAGGTACTGTCAACAATATCACGCTTATAATTTATGGTACTAAAGAAGAACCAAAACATTATAAAGAAATAAAACATTATAGAGGAAAAAAATAATTGTCAGAAAACATTTATTAAATTCGAATGTGAGTAAATACTGAATTTGGATGTAAGTAATTGTTGAATTTAAGTGTAATTAATGATTAAATTTGAATAAAAATTATTTATTTTATTTCATTTCACTATTTTTTTCATCTTTTTTTCAATTTGTTAACAGACTTTTTAAATAGAAACCATTTTTTTTTTTGTAAATTTTAAATGTTTTTAAATTTTATCTATATTTATTGCTCGGCACAAATGATTTTATGAGAAATGGAAAGTATAATAAATGATAATACATTACTATGGAGAAGTATACCAGAAATATTTTATGTAATTTTAAATTTCATTGATAATATTAATCAGTAATGATTAATCAAAATAAGGAACGAATAAATGTCTTAAATTATGTTATCACGACGTTATGATAAAATTTTTAGACCAAGTTAGCATCATATGTATGTTTTTCCAATATTATAGTTAAATTAATAATGCATTATTGAATAATCATTATCAATAATTTAATTATGGTATAACTGATTAATGTATGAAATCAATGCTAATAATTGTCGTATATTGATTGGTTTATGAAGTAATTATCACTAATTTACTTACTGTATTGATTGGTTTATGAAGTAATTATCACTAATTTACTTACTGTATTGATTGGTTTATGAAGTAATTATCACTAATTTACTTACTGTATTGATTGGTTTATGAAGTAATTATCACTAATTTACTTACTGTATTGATTGGTTTATGAAGTAATTATCACTAATTTACTTACTGTATTGATTGGTTTATGAAGTAATTATCACTAATTTACTTACTGTATTGATTGCTGCATTAAATCACTAACTATAACTTAGTTATCATAACTGATTAATATATGAATGAATCTTGTTTCTTGTGAATAATTTTCTTTTCTTGCAGCAATGAGATAAATGTCAAAGTAACGAAAGTATTCACGTGTAAAAAGCACGAGAATGTTCACGTCTAAAAAGCTCAAAAATGTTCACGTCTAAAAGCAAGGCAATGTTCATGTCTAGAAAACACGAAAGTGTTCACGTCTAAAAAGCACGAAAGCATCGGTCCACGTTCTAAGGCATAAAAATATTTGAGTGTCAAGAAGCGAAAAGTAAAGGCTAGTAAAGGCTATCGTGAAAAATGAACTGAAATTATTTATAATTTGAAATTAGCTTCAAATAAAAATAATATTTAAATAATCATTTCTATCCATATTTTACATTCAAAAAGAAGAAACCTTTAAATGAATTATTTGTAAAAATATTCCACTTTATTCATTATCACTCAGTTAAATTTCTTAAATTACAAATGAAAATTAATATCATAAATTTGAATTGCATTCTTCAGAAATATTTAATTACTAATACATCGTTGTCAATAGCAACCAGTTGTATATCATTTAACACTCATCGATTTGCTCAATTTCTCATCACTAATTTATATTTTTACTTAATATTACTTCAAATTTACTTCATTCAATTGCTAGTAACAGTTTCTATTTTATGAAAAAAAAGTTTTTTAATTTAATTTTTCAAATGATAATTATATTTTATAGACATTAAATTGAAAAAAATAATCATATATTATAGGGAAGTTTATTAATACTTGACGACAATTAATCATTCAAAGTGATAAAACATTGGTTTTTATAATTTTATTTGTTGCACAATTAAATTTTAAACTCTTTCACATTTCCCAGTTTGTTTTTTCTTTATCACAGAATTTTGAGTCATTTAATTACAATTCATAAAATACATTCTCCAACATTCTACCAAGAAGAAAGGATCTTTTCCCTTTTTTAGAATTTAAAAGTTTGCTATCAATTTTTTTTTTTTTTTCATCTACAAATGCATTTCTAATTTTTCTAATCTTTCCTGTATTTTTCCAAATATCAGGACTGATATCATCAGATGAATCACGATCACGTTTTCGAGATTCTGCAAAAGCAGCTGCAAGTAATGCATTTAGCAGTAGCAAACTTGCTGCAAGTAATGCATTTTAAATTTGGAAATGCAATTATCGAAAGAGAATTTTGAAGACAAAGTAACAAATATTTGAAATGAATGCAAATATTTCAAAAAATTCAAATGTTATTATATAAAAATCAAAAAAAGAAAATTAAAATTAGTTTTGCAAATATTTAAAAAGCCATCTACTTAATAATTATTAATCTAATTAATATTAAAAAAACTTAACAAATAAAATTATAACAAGCAAATCGATAATTACCTGGCAAATAGTTCTTAAAAATTTTTGGAGGAAAGATTACTTATAATAATATCTGGAAAGTTACTCAAATTTATACTTTCAAAAATTGCTATTATCATTACCTTTCCTTATCTATTATTAATCAAATTTCAGATCTTGTCTTAGTCTTTAATTTTTTTTAAATGTTTCATTTAGTTACCGTTAAATTTGTATTTCATATTTTCAACATAATTCTAATTTATTCATTGTTTTTTCAGAATTAACTTCGAAAGAAATTAATGGAAGAAAAGGAAATGGAAATAACTAAAAAATTGCAAAATGATTGTACGGAAGAAATCGATAAGAAATCAATAAAAATTGATAAGAAATCAACAAAAAAAATTATTGCAAATCAACGAAATAGTTGGATGGAAGGCCTTGAAAATATCAATGATAATTGTCATTTGGACCAGGAAATGAATCCAATAGCAACGGTTAAAATGGACAAATCTTATACAACTAAAGTGACACCACCATTTTAGTGTGACAAAAATATTTCAGCTCTTCTCTTTTCTCTTTTTTCTTTTCTATCTCCCTTCTCTCTCTCTCTCTCTCTCAAAGTAAATTACAATAACATTATTTTAGACTTAATTAATCCTTCGTAATAATAGCAATAATAATAATAATTCTTTTTCTCTCTATGACTAAAACAATGCTTTATTATTTTATGTCTAAAATAACAATTTGATTAAATAATAATACAATGAAATAAATTTGAGATATAATAACTCTGTGTGGAATAAAATAATTTTTCTTTAATTTAACTAAAAAAATCAAAAAAAAAAGAGGAAAAGTTATTGTTTATTTATTTTTTTTTTCAGCTTGATGAATCATTTGATGATAATTCAAACATAAGTCAAATTAACAGGTTCATTTTATTTTTTTTTTTTTTAATTGAAAAATTTTTCATTGTAGTAGGAAAAGAAAATGAATAATAATAATAATTTTTTTTTTCTTTGTATTTCGATTGTATTAATTAATGAGTTATTTTCACTTTTAAATCTTTTTTAGAGAAAGAAATTGCAAAAAGATTGATTTTTCTAACTTTTCAATTTATTCATTTTTTTTTTTTTAAAAAAAGTATTATCAATTAGCTAATAGATATTTTAGCCCAGCAATTTCTTCTCAAGAATCTTTTGCATTTGGAAAAATTACTGGTTCATCTGTACCAGATAAACAAATAATACGTGAACGAATACGGCAAAAAATAGCGCAAGAAATGAGTGAGAAACGTGACACAGCAAAATTGAATAAACGGTTGCAACGTCAACAACGTAATAAGTTAACGTTGCAAGATTCGTTGGGAAGTCTTAATGAAATGAATCAAGAAGAACTCGATAAACAAATTGAACATTCCATGAAGGTTTTCTCATTTTTAGTAAAGTATATTAAAATTTTATTTTGTAATTAATTTTCTATTTTCTAATTTGTATTGTGCTTTTGTTTAGTTATAATTAAAAAATTATAAATTTAAACAAAAAAAATTTTTTTCTTTGTGGTAACAAAAATTACAATGAACAAATTGAGTATGAATAAGTGATTTTTGGTTATTTTTATTGATTAGAAAAAAAAAATTAATTTTTAAACAATTTCAAATTTTTCTATTCTTTTTTTAAATTTCATATAGCTTGGAGAAAAATGTAAAGCTGATTGTGTACACTATTTACCATCGGATGATGTTCAGTATGAATTTGTAACCGGTCAATTCCAGAATGATAATGAAGTGAAGATTAAACGGAAACAATTTCCTAAAGGTTTTCAAAAAATTGAAAATTGATAATTTACAATTTAATTTTAACTGATAAATTTAAAAAATATTTGCAATAAAATTTAATATTAATTCATTTCTTTTCTTTTTCTTCTTTTTTTAACTTTATAACATACCTCGTAGTTTTCTCTTTTTTTTTTTCAGAAAAAATAAAGTTAGCAAATAAAATTTGAAGGAACAAAATTTGTTCAATTAAATTTTGTTTTATAAATAATTTAAATTTAGTTGTCTTTGTGGCAGCACAGCCACAATTGCCAGAAGAAATTAAACAATTTGCAACATTGTGTTGTACCTATAATAAGCAATTTGATGTGACAATGTCACCAACTAATGAAAATGAAATGCAAAAGTAATAATTTCATTTTAATTCAAATTTTAATTTTTGCAGTAAAAATTTCATTTATTATATTTTTTTGAAAGTAATTACTATTAAATATTAAAAATAAAAGAATAAAAAATAAATTACTTTTAATGTTAGAAATAATTTATTAATTTCAGTATAACAACATTTAAACCACAAAATTATGCATTATTAAAACAACGATTGGGCGAACATTTTATTAACGATGCTGGAATAGTATTAGGAAGCAATTTGAATTTTGATAAAATTCCTAAACGAGTAATTAATTATTGTATTTTATGCTTGGAAATTATGATTTAAAAAAAAAATTTAAATATGAAATTAATTAATTTTAATTTATACCTTTTTTTTTTTGAGAAAGCATAAAGAATTAGAGAAAAGGGAAAAAAAGAAATTGTAGAAATGTACGAAATATTTTTATTTGAAATTTTAATATGAGCTAATTGAAATAAGCATTATAGATAATAAAATAATGAAAGATATAAATGAGCAATGAAATATAAATTATAAATTAAAAATTATTAAAAAAATAATGAAATATAAATTATAAAAATTTTCGAAACATAATGCAATAAGTTTCAATTTTAAGTGAAAAATATTTTTTTTCTTTTTTTAATAATTTATAATTTATTTTTTTTTATAATTTTTTCATACTTTTTTTAATAATTGATTTATCCATGATAAGAGAAAAGTTGAGAAAAGAATATAATTTATTCAATTTCAAATAATTTCAATTTCAATTGAATAATTAACAAACATTTTTTTTGCTTTCTATTCTTACTTTAACTTATTAGATAATAGTATGTTTTTTTTTTTTTTAATTTGATTGCTGTGAAAAAAAAATTATACACATTTGATTATATTAAATTAAAAAATCAGTTTTGTCTTCTTTTTAATAATTTAATTGAGATAAAGAAAAATATTTAAAATTTTAATTAATTATAGCCGGAACGCTATGATAATGATAATTATCACAATCCATATCGATATTTTAAAGCTGAACAATGGCATAAAGCGCTTAATCGTTTTAAGCAACAAAATTTTGTACAATTGGATATTGATTTAAATCGAATTGTTTTCAATTATCATTGGTTATTTGGACAAGAAAATTTGGTTATTAAAATTCTAATTAATTTATGAATAAAAATTAAGTGAAAAAAGTGATAGTATTATAGTAAATGTTAAAATTATTTTATAATTTTTATTTGTATCATATATTTACATGTAATTAATTCTTTATTAATATAACTTAAATATATCAATTTTATATGATTAAATTGCAGTTATGCAGTACCATTCAAAATTTGCATAAAATGCAGTCAATTAGAATGGAAGAAGCATTGAAATTATTGAAGGAAATTGAAATGAATGAAAAAAAATTACGCAAAGGAGAAATTTTACAAAAAAAAGAAAAAGAAAAGTTAGAAAATATTTTCACTTTTGCAAAATTAATTTCATGATTGATAACTTGTAATTTAAACTGAATAAATATATTTCTAAAGTAATTTAACTGAAAAAATTCAACAATTATTTTTGATTTGAAATTTTTATCGAAATATTTAGTATTAAAAAAAAAAAAGAGAAAGATGTATTTTTGAGCGCTTACTGAGATTTGCTGATTAATTTTATTGATTAATATATTTTTGTGATAATATATATTTATTAAATAATATAAATAAAGTTAATTTCCTTATAAATGACAGTTTATTGTAATTTTTTTTTTTTTTTAAAAAATAGTTTCAGAATATTTTTTTTTTCATAATATACGCACATTTTTAACTCCTAATTGTGATTTTTTTTCTAAAAAAAAATTAATTAGAATATTTTTAAAAGAAATAAAATAATTTTACTTATAAGAAATATATTTCATTACAGTTCAGAATGCCAAATACAGCAATTATTGATTGATTTGGAGGAAAAACAACAAAGTTATTTGGATTTAAGTGATAAAATTGAAGAAAATTGGAAAAAACTGCAGAAATTACGACAAATACAAGGATATTCCACCACAAAATTAATCGTTCAAAAAGTTTCCTTTCCGCAGCAAAGTGCTGAAAGAGAAAGGTTTGAGTGATAATCTGAGTTTCAGTGATAACCCGACTTTGAGTGATAATCTGAGTTTGAGGGATAATCTGAGTTTGAGGGATAATCTGAGTTTGAGGGATAATCTGAGTTCGAGTGATAATCTGAAATGTACAATGCCGTGTCGTACATGCATTAATTATATGGCTGAGTAATCATATTTATCATTATTATTATCACTGCTGCCAATCACTGTATTACGATTATCAGTCATTAATCATTATCATTATTTATTGTTATTATTATTATTATCATTATTACTGTTAATAATTATTACTGATTGAGTGATATAAGTGAATGCTTTTTATTTGATCATTTTTTGCAGAGAGGAAACTGATAATCAATCAGTAACAAATATTATGGAAAAGTTAAAATTATTTGATGAATTGCGGCATGTTCCAGTTTACGTATTAAGTGATAACGATAACAATGAACGGAATAATCCAATACCCAAAGATGAAATTGATCGAATTAATCATTTGCAAAAATGCCGCTTGCAATTACAAATTGAATTTAACGATATTATTGTGTGCAGAACATTGTATCGATCACTTGATAGTAACTTTCAGGCTTATTTTGGGCAAATTTATAATTTACAGGTAAGTATTACAAAGTTTATCTAATAAATAGGAACAAAAAAAAAGAAAAAAAAGCAATGAATCTTTCTTAATTTTTTGCAATTTTTTAATTTTAATTCTCTAATTCGTTTACCACTTGCAATTTTACTTTTATTTAATACACAATTATTTCCAAGTGATTTCCTCGAAATATTAAGTAAATGCTAAATAAATTTTTGAGATTTGATTTAAAAATGTTACTACTTTTTTTATTATGTATTATTAAAATGATAAAGATAACAAATTAATGATAAATGTTTTAATAATTCAAATTTTTGTAATTTTCTATTTTATTTCTAAATAAATTCAAGACAGAGAGAGAGAGAGAGAAAGAGAGAAAGAAAAAAGCATGAAATTTAAAATGTTACTATCTTTTTTTGAACTTATTATCCACTTATTGTTTCAGGTACAAGAAATACCTAAATCTGTAACAATAACAATTTTTGAGAAAGCACCAAAACTGGAAGCTCGTAAAATTGCAATTGTTGGTTTACCGTTGCCAGACGACGATAATATTACAGATGAGCGAAATATTCTGGTACCAATTGAATTTGCTAGTGATTTAATCATAAATGGGTAATCATTTGTAAAATTAATTCATTTTATCAATTCATTTATTAATTATCATCTTTTTATCACTTTTCTTTATGCAATTTGTTCACTTTTTTTTTTTATTAAAATTAATTACAGAATGTATAATAGTCTTGGCTCTGGTAATCATAGGCCATGTATAGCTGGTGAGTTATACTGTAATGCAACATGGGCCAAGCAAAATGCATTAATAACAAATAAATTTCAACGACAGTCAATAATTACATATCAACAACAGTACTTGTCCACTGATAATGATACGAGTGATAATTTTGATTTGATACCTAAGGAAGTTCGATTATGCTCTGACGAAGAATTTGATAATGATATCAGGTGAATTTAATTTTAATTCAAATATATAAATGCGAAGAGTAGAGAAAAGCATATATATCACATATAAAATACATATAAAAAATGGAAATGCATAATGCTTAAAAAATAAAATTGTCATTATTATTAATTTTCTAATTTTTAAAAAAACAAATAAAAATCATTTTTTTTTAAAGACGAATAATTAATTAAGAAAATACGAATATAATAGAATTATTCTTCCTTTTTCTACTTTTTTTTTTGTTTATTTTCTACAGATTCAAAGCATTACAAATGCGCAATGAGCAAAGAAGAGGCGCTAAAAAACCAATTCCATTGTTGAATTCAGAAATTGAATATGATATGATTTCATCAAGTCATGTAATGAATCAACAAAATAATTACAAAACAAAAATTGATCGATATCGAAATATTGGAAATCAATATGCCATTATGATAAGGTAATGAAATAATGTTATTGAATAATATAATTAGTGTCATGTGGTATTAAGTGGATTGCTAATAGTCTTATTTATTATAGCTACTGTTGTTATTACTATTATTATTATTATTGTTGTTGTTATTATCATTATTATTTATTATTATTAGTTATTATCTTTTCCTCTTTCAGGAATCGATTTTACGAACAAGCAATGCGTGAGCAAAGTTTAAAATTGGCACAAAATTTGATTCACGAAGTACCACTTCCAAAAATTTTCGGAGCATTTAGTAAATTCTCATTTGGTTCCAACGAAATATCACGGAAGCTAAAACCGGCAAGGCGAGAAACAAGTAAACGAAAGGTATTCCGGTAAAATAATTATACTGTGCATATATTGATATTAATTAATATGTGTAAGGTAAAAATTGTAATACAGGTAATAAGTGGTATGGAATATCGTCTTGTTATTAATATTCATTCAGCAGTAAATCTTCCAGAACCTGAACATGAAACATTATTATCATTTGTTGAAGTATCATTCCAGGTGAAGTCAATTTTTTCGTTTTTCAAAACTAATATTTTTCTAAAAAAAAAAATAAATAAACAAAAAATTATTATATTTAACAAAAATTTTGCATATGATGTGATAAATTTTGAAAATGAATTTAATAAATGAAATTATACAATTATTAATTAATTTAATTATCATTTCATTTGTGTAATATTAAAATGAATGATATAATACTTTAAATATCTTAGTGTATTTCTTATATAGTTTACGCAACAAATGTATATGAGAATGTATTATTATATAATTAATTATATCATTAATTAATTAATTCTTATAATAATAAAAGGTTTTTAGGATTCATTAGTGCAAACAGCATTATCAAATGGACGTAATCCATATTGGCAGCAAACATTTGAAATGAAATTAGATCGTCTTCGTGCAGCTAATAATGATTTTAGCGCAATTACAGATTCAATAAAAATCACAGTTTATGATAGAGTTAGTTTTTTTTTTTTTCTTTTTGAACAATATTTTAAAATAATTTATAGAAATGACAAAAGAAAAATGAGAAGGAGAGAGAGAGAGGGGGAGAGAGAGGGAGGTAGCATGATCAAGATAATTTTACTCCAAGATTGTGAATAATAGTTGATTAAAAAATAAATAAATAAAAGAAATTGATTGAAATCTTTAAAGTTATTTAGCATAAATAAATCTTTTTTTAATTAGATAATTGATTAATTATCTCAGCTGAGAAGAGAAATAATTGTTGCAATGAAATAAAAATGAATTTTTAATTTAGGTGGTCACTAAACTTGATTCTGATGATCGCGAGCCTAATTCAGTGCACGAACAATTAGAGCGTCGTTGGCTAGGCTCTATTTTTATACCTTTAGCAACTGTTTACTTTTGTGGTAAAATTGATGGTTATTTACGTCTTCAAACACCATTATTTCTCACTTCTTACAGGTTTATCAACAATTTTTTCTTTTTTTTTTTTAGAAAAGCATAAAATTAAAGGTTAAATTTATTTATCGTAAATTAAGAAATAATGTCGATAAGTTTAAAAAGTTTATTGATTAAGTCTATTAGAAAACTAATTAATAAATTATTTTGAAGAGCTTAAAGACATTTAAAGATTAAATTTTTATTTTGTGATTAATTGAAAAATTATTGGAGAATTTAAAGGTTAAAAAAATGAAATTAGCAAGAAGAAAAAAAAAATTATTTCAATAATCTTATAAATCTATAAGCTATTCTGTATTATTTATCAGTTTTTCAGGATTGATAATCAACCGGCATATCTCAAATTACTGATAGCATTTAAACCAGATATATCTCCGCCACAAATTGTTAACATCAAATATTCAAGTACTGATGAGCCTAGCAAAGTAAAATTTATGCATATTATTAATTCAAGATTGGATAAAAATAATAAACAATCAAATTATTTTGTTTTTTGTAATAAATCTATTAATTAAGTAAAAAGTTTTAATTTGTGAAATAATTTTAGATACAAAAGAAATCATTAGAATGGGAAAAAAATGCTAGAAATCATTTTATGGATCGTCGCTATATTAGCATTGTGCAATGTGCTACTGGTAAACGAATATTAGCATGCAGGTAACAACTTGCAACCATTATTTAGCTGCATGCAGGTAACAACTTGCAACCATTATTTAGCTGCATGCAGGTAACAACTTGCACCCATTATTTTAGCTGCATGCAGGTAACAACTTGCACCTATTATTTAGCTGCATGCAGGTAATAACTTGCACCCATTATTTAATTACATACAGATAATAACTTGCACCCATTATTTAATTACATACAGATAATAACTTGCACCCATTATTTAATTACATACAGTTTTGGCACTTAATAATTATTTAATTACATACAGATAAATCTTACATGCATTTCTTATTTCAGTTATATCTTAAAATTAACTTAAAAAAATCTTTTTCACCGTACTAAAAAAGAGAGAGAGAGAGAAAGAATGGGATAGAAGGTATCTCGAAATACGTTACTTTTCAAAATAAGAATATATAGAATTGATTTTAATAATTACAAATATTGTTAAATTAAATAGAATTTTAAAAATGAAAGAATTAATAGTTTTTCTATTTTAACTGTGTATTTCATTTATTGCTTAAGAAATATACTTTATTATTAATAATATATCAATGATTTAATTAATAAATAATTTAAAATGCTTTATGATATCATTTTTCAACTTTTATTACTAATAAACTTTAAATTACTAGTAAAATAAATCTCATAAAATATATGCTGCAAAATGAAAAAGTTAATTAAATTAAAATATTAATACATTTTTAATGCAAATTATATAAATTTAAATGATCAAATATGTTTATTTTTTCAGATTCATTCGACCAATTAAGCCACCAATTAGCTTATCATCTTTATCATCATCGCAATCTTTAGCTCATTTTGCATGTCAAATGGTTTCTAATATACCATTCATTTCCAATTCGATTATTTCTTCAGAATTTTGTGATATTTGGATTACCGCTGATCGGGTAAGTTTTTATTTAAAAACAATGAAATTTTTGAGGTCATTAATTAATTAACTAATTAATTAATGTATTTCATACAATTACAAATTTAAATAATATAGTATTAATATTTGTTTCAATTTTTGTTTGAAAAAATGAAATTTTTGAGGTCATTAATTAGAGCATAGTGCAGTTTATAATTACAAATTTAATTAATATAACAAAGACATTTGTTTTAATTGTTCAGTTTCTATCAATTGGTTGTGGTATTATCGATGAACATGCAATATTATTATGTTGTTGGTTGCTACATGCTGGCATAAAATCATATGTTCTATTTGGGAAATCATTACCAGAAGGTGAATAATTCAAAGTTTAATTTCAACCAATTTATTAAATTTAAAACTAACATTCACTTTTTTTTTTAAAACAATTCACTCGAAAATTTTACATTAAAGAAAGAAAAAAAAAAAAACGAAATTCCTGTTTTTCATTTTTTTTAAGTATGTTGTAGAATTTTTAATAATGCTGTAATTTTAATTTAGAATAAAAGTGAACTTTTTTTATAGACGTACAAAAAATTTTTTTTTAGGAGTAAAAGAATTTTTTTTTCTTTTTTGAAAATCTGAAATAGATGTGAGAAGCTAAAATTTTTAAAGTTTCAAATGATTTTTACAGATGACAATTACAGGCTCTCGATCAGCTTATGTAATGGCAATGGTTTCGGATGGTACACTAATTTTAAATCCATTCGATGGTAACTGCTATAAATTAAATGACCCATTCTCTCCTATTAGATCAATTGGTACTCTTGCATGTATGGGAAATTTATATGCAAATATTCAAAAAAATGAACATCCAAGTCAAATGCAATTTGATTTAAGCGTATGTTTAGTGAAAATTTATTAAACTAATTATTTAAAAAATTATTTTATTTCGAATTCATGTAAATCTAATTTCAACAATTTAAAAGACACATTCAAAAAGAAAAAAAAACTACAATTAAGAGCTTTTAAGAAATAACATTTAAAAAATTAATCATTAAGATATGTTTTTCAACTATAATTTATAATAAATGAATGAATTACAGAAACGCAATCATTGGTTACCATTATTTAGTAGCGATCAAACTGAAATGGAATCGGTACAACCGGAACAGATTGCATATTTTGATACGGAAAATGATGCATTGTTGCAACTTCGAACTAATCTAGAACGTGAAATTCGTTTAAAATTTGATCAAAGTCGTCTATATGGAATTCCACATTGGAACTTACTAGCCTCAAGGTATATAAAATTAAAAAAGAGAATTAAATATTCATTTAAATTATATTTAATTTATTTCTTCTTTTTTTCCATTTATCCAAATTCGCAATTTTTTTTTTTATCTAAAACTTTAATTACAAAATTAAAATTTAATGAGTAAGACAAAAAATCGTTTATACACAAAAACAAAAACAAAAAGAAATCAATAATTCATAAACATTAACATTAATACAAAAAGTAAATTTTTGGAATCATTATTTTGTACGAACTGAAATGAAAAAAGAAAAGGAAAAAAAAAATAAATAAAATGCTTAATAAAAAAGCAATTAGAAAAAAATTATATAAGTTTCGTTAAAATTTAAAAAGTTTAAAAATCTGAACTATACTATATAAAATTTAGCATTTCGTATTATTTTCAGGATACTACGTAAAATTTTATCAGAGTTAGAAAATACGAATGATATTAATGAGCAAATAAAAGATGATTTATTGCAATTACGTAATTCATATCACGTAAATGCTGTTGCTTTCCGTCATCGGTACAGTACCATCGATGAAATTATTGATAAAGTACTTACACTTAAAATTCATGAAAACACTGATCAAAATGTTCAATTTGCATTTGCCGTTCATTTACAATCATTTGTTAATAATATTTTATCATGTTCTATTGCTATTGCTGCACTAAAACCATTAATAAAATGATTTTTTTTTTTGATAATTTAATAATTATAACATTAATCAATTTATTTTATTAAAATTAAATCTAAAAACTTTTTCTAATTTTTTGAAAGATTTCATTTTCTAAAAGATTTCATTTACGTTCTTCTAACAATTCAATTGAAAATAAATGAATAACTTTAATCATTCAATATTATATATCATTCATATATCTAATGATGATTGTGACTTTTTGACTTTTTTTCTCGCAACAAATCAATTAAAATCTCGAAAAATAAAAAATCGAAACAAAATTTTTTGAACGAAAAAAAAATTATCTTTTCTCATTCATTGTTATTACTTGTTGTTGTTATTATTAGCACTCTTTTGAATATTTAATATGAAATAATTGGTATCATTGAAATGCAAACTAACTTTTCCATTTCTTCTATGCTTGTAAATGTAATTTCGAGTTAAATTTCGAACAAATTTGAAATTTAATTAAAACAGAACTTGTGTAACTGATAAACCACAAATCATTTTTTTTTATTCATTGTTATTCAAAAATTATTTCACATCTATGCAATCTTGATAATTTCAAAAGGAAAAACTCCAGATTTGAGTAAATTTGAAATTTAATTGAAATATAGGCTTCAGATTATAAAATATATTTCTATAAGTTACAAGAAAATATTCAAAAAATACAACAGCTTAGCTATGTTCACTACATTGAGGCAGCTGAAGTGAAACCATTGCACGCACTGGTTATGTTCGGAATATTAAATCATACAATACGTTACGTGGATTACGTAAAAATTACTACTTGTTTACTATTAATTACTATTATGCTGTTTTAAATTTCATATATTATCAAAGACCATTGAAGAGTTCAAAAAAGATGTATTTCTGGCGAAAGGTACTAAAAATTGGAGCTTAATATAGGAAATGTAGAGATTGCAAACAGTAATGGTCACTCATTGGTCATTAAATTCATTTTATCTTTTTTTCTAAAAAATTTTCTCCCCAATCCTTCCTTATCTATCTTTATTTCCTTGCTATCTTTATCATTTTTCGTTCATTATTCTTTTCTTTTTTCAAACGTAAGAAAAATCAAGATGAGAGAGGTGAAATGGGATGTTCCTTCGAGAGATTGATTGGTCACAAGAATTCTCGATGTAATGAAATAAAGTTATATTAGCAAAACAAATGCAATCTATTCTTCCTAGCTTATCAGAATCAAAACTGATAGAATGATTAATAAATGGCGCAAAACGCCACTTTGCATTGTTTGCTTAATGTTTCTACAAGCAGTTATAGCATAATCTGATAATATCATCCCTTCGCTTCCAATTAAAAACTCTTTATAAAAAAAAATGTTAAGCAAACAAAGATTAGATCAAACGAAATGAAATTTTCATTGTAAATTATTATGAAACGATTATGCAACAAAAAGATTCCAAATGAAAGTTTTCATTTGTTAGTTGGATTATTGCTATTCATATAACATTAATTATTTTTTGTTATTTCTTATATCAATAATCATATCATTCGTTTATCTTGTGATAATTCGTTAGTTTTATCAATCAAAATATGCTTACTCGTTCGTAGATTACATTGATCTCATACTCTTATAAAGAAAAAAATTTTGCGTTTTATTATCATTAATTGGTTGTTTTTTTTTTTTTATTTTAATTTTTTTAAAAACCAAGAAACGATAAAACTGATGGTTGATTGATCATCAGTTGTTCAAATTCAGTTGCATAAATTTTGACTCTGTGCAAATCATTTGATCATTATATTCAATCATTACTTCAGGTTTTTCGAGTTTCTTAGTTATTGCGATTTATGTCAATTCACGCAATATCATGTCGTTATATTTCCAAAAGATTTGGCGGAATTGTTCCTAGCACTTCAGCTAATATTGTTTTAAGCTTACCCTCATCAGCTATATGGAAAAATTATGATAACAAACGTAATTTCTCTAATGATACTTATTTGGATATAGCAGCGGAGTTGCAGGTTATTGATTCATTTCACTTATTTTTCAACCCAAACTAATCGATATTTTAGTAATTCAGTTTGCTTTAATCGCTTTTTTCGAAATTAAATTAACCCTCTATTGAGAGAAATGGAACAATCGTTTAATGCATTATTACTTAATATATTCTAGCACAAGTTTGATACTAATTTCTAAATTTATTCATCATCATTGTGTGATTAATTAATTCGAAATAAATTAAGGCTCATCCTGTCGTTCAGTGGTTCGATCGATCGGTGAAAGCATCATGCAATTATGCGCAAAGTTTAATTGAAACTTCTGGCTTAAGTAGTACTCCGCTTGAACATTTGGGTCTGTACACGTGGTGGAAGCCTTCGTCGTGGTACCGAGTATTATTGGAATTCCTCCATACCAACTATGAGTTATCCTGGCTTACTACTATAATATGTGGTAAAAGTTCTGCTTTACTAGCTCTTCGTAGTTTATCATTTCTTATCATTTTGGCCAATAAATTGTCTTGACATTCAATTAATTGACATATTCTTTGCATCCCTTAAATGTTTCAGAAGCCCTTAATTCATTTAATTTCAGTTTCTCTTCTTTCACATTTTTCCAAAAAGCTTAGATCAAATAAATTTAAAATGTGAACTTCTGATTTTCTGATTAATTTATTTTATTCAGCGACTGTGTTAATTCGAATGGCTACGTTCTATATGCCAGCTTTAATTTTGTGGAAAAGAATGAAATCCAAGGAAGTCCATTCTCCGTTTCTACATCGTAAGCACATTTTGTCCTAAAAACTTTTGACTATTATATTGTATAAAATATCAAATTTCTAGCGTATTTTCAGAAATTCGCAGTCGAATTGGTTCGGTCATATTGTACTCTTCAAACGTTGGACTCTTCTTTACGCAATACTGTGGTATTAAGAAAATGGCTGAAGTTGTGTACGCTTTTTTCTACTTGGAAGTTTAGTAAAAAGAAAAAAAAGATTGATTGATTAATTTTAAAATATTGATTTATTTTGAAGCAAATGAAATACTATTCATGCGCTTATAATGGTAGTGATATTTGCAGTTATCCGAGCTGGACAGGAAGTGGCATGTTATCATTTACCGATCTAACAGTATCCGATCCGGCCTTTTTATTGCCTACTCTAACTGCTATTTGTTTTGCTTTCACAACTAAGGTAGTGATGTCACGAATTTGAAAGTTTAAACAGTTTTTATTAGTGAGCCAAAAGAAAGTGCAAGGTGTCTTTTTCAAAGCAAGAGACACGTTCATGACGCTTTTCTAGGGTTTTACATTTTCCCCTCAACTTGTCAAACATACACTTATTAATATATTAAAATGATTGATTTTCTCATTCTTTCTTTTTCAAAGTTTATCTTTTATATTAAGTCTATGTTACTTTTATGCCGTATTATTTGTTGGCTGAGAATTCTATATGCCGTATTTGTTGGCTAAAGTCAGATGACTTTTCTTTTTAGAAATGGATTGAAATATTGCAAATGCAAAAAACAGTAAGCAACTGGATGTTAGGATTAAAGCCATATAATACAATATATCCAATTGCTGCATGTTCATTTTTCGTTGCTAGCAACGTTCCATCGGTAAGTATTAAGCAAAAGAAAGTGAAAATTGAATTTAAATATAAGCATTTTTAATACGAACACTGTTATGTTGCTATTAATGTCGGCACAAAATACTGATCTTTCTTCGCTTATGGCTTTTTCAATTCCTCACTTTTTTACTACTACTAGTTTCAGTTTTTTTATGTTCAGTTACTCTCGAATTGAATTAATACATCTTGCAAAATTATTTTTTAAGGTCGTGTGTATTTATTGGATCACTTCGAGTTTAATTAGTAACATGCATGTAACAGTATTGAGAACTCGTACAATGCATTCTTTGTTACATTTACCTGCTGTTTGTTCAGATCCTGCGGAAACTCGTCGTACTGAGTTATTAAACTACGTTTCTGGTATGTTTGAATTTTTCCGTTTCTGATTTGTCGTTTGCTATTTTTTTATGATTTCTTTTTAAGATTGGTTAATTAATGGTTTAATGCATAAACCTTCTGATTTTCCAATCATTCGGAACATTTAGGGGTTTCTCTTTAAAAAATAGGTAGGCATTATGTGATATATAGTAGTGGAATTCAAATTTCCAGAAATGAGATGGAAAAGAGCAAGCGAAACATTGGAACTTCAGAAGAAAGTTGCTGAAATTGAGAGAAAGAGTCAAGACGATGATTCGTCCAAATTACTTGCAAAAGAAACAGAAAATACCGAAATTCAGAAAGACTCACTTTTTGGAGAACCCTGGAAAGAAAATGCTGCTTTGTCATCGTCAAAGATTGCTAAATTAATGGAACAATACATACAAGAAGAAGCGCGGGCAAATGTGATGACAAAAGTTGGGAAGACGAATTCTATGATAAGAACTAATTCTCGAAAATTTGAAATTGATGAAATTACGGCAGGCTGAAATTAAACTTTGGATTTTCTTTTGTATAGATCGTAACAAATCCCGAATAAACAAATTTTATAATTGGGATCGATAAATGATATTCCAAACTTTTTATTAGATTATTTCATTTAATTTCGGATTTTTTTACCCCAGATTAAATCATATTAGTTTAGGCCAGTAATATGCACATGTAGATAATGTGCAGCACTAGTTGAATTCAGAAATTCCTAAACTATTAGAAGCAGTATTGGAGTATTTGTTCAAAGTCTTCCAATCTTCAATTAGTAACGTAAAAATGGAAGTCTTTGAACACCTATCAAAACTCTCAGGTTCTAATAATCAACGTTATATATGTTTTTTTTATTAAACGCTATTGGCATTATAATTTAATCCAGGGTTTATTATGTCAGCTGTTCATAAACTAGCTAACACTGCAAAGCATGTCTTGTTTATTGTTTATCACGTTGTTGATATAATTGGTAAAATTATTTTATTCGACCATCAGCGTAATGTAAAATGTATGTAACCTACTAGCTGATGCTTTACTAAACGAATGTGTAATTTAAAACCTGAACTGTTATTAATTAAAATGAAGTAAAATTTAATATGAAGATTTTTTATAGTGTACAGAGATGCTGTTTGACTTAAAAATGGTGCATTTGGTTAATGACATGCATTCTTGTATTGTTTTGTTTTGTTTTGTTTTGTCTTTTCAAAAATTGTGCAATGTTTGAGAAATGGATGTGAGAGCTTGTCGTTAAATAATTTTTTATTTTTAAAATGAAGTAAAATTCATCAAAAAATTTATTGCACACTCTAAGGAAACACTGTTTGAGTCGAGGTTGTTATTTACTCAATACTGTCCTAATGTTCCATGAGTGGTTATGTTATGGGTTCTGCACTAGCAATTGTGTGCTCGGTTTCTCATTAATTGTAGTGGATGTTTTAGTAATAACAAAGTTGGATGGATTTCATTCCCGAATTGATTCTCGAAATGTTAGATTACAGAAGAGGCAACATACTTCAAAATTGTTGAGTGGTTATCGTGTAATTTCAGTATGCTTCCGAGGAATCTGCAGGTGATGCTACGTCTTAGACGGCATCTTCTAACGGAATTAACATCTTTGTCCTCAGTGAAAATGTCATCAAGATTAAATTTTGTGGTTGCTGACCACTGCCAATTAATTTCACAAATTAGACATATATCTTTCTTTGGAAGTAGTCCACCATCTTCTACTCCATCTTCACCACCCGAAATATTGGTAAGTCTATAGTTGCCATATGTGATAGTTTTTTTTGAAAGGCAGTATCCAGTGTAATAAATTTAGTTCGGTAGAGTTCGTCTATTTGCTTCTTTTAAAACTGTTGTAAGATTCAAGTCTGATTAGGCTAAATTGCGCTAATTGAAGCTAAATCATCATCTTGTTTATTTCCAATTGAATTTCATCGAACTGAATGCAATTGGGCTAAAGTTGCATAAAATTTTAGCTGTGCTCATTTGAAATTAATTTTTTATAGACTACACCTACAGATACACCGTTGGTTTCTACAGATGCAACAGATTTTACACTAATGGAACAACTGCAACTGGCATTAGTGAAAGATTTTCATTTATTTGATTTTCTTGGTGGAAATTCATTGGTCAAAGAGTATGATCTTTTTTCATGGTGGAGTCCGGCATCGTGGTTTCGTTTAGCATTAGAATATGTGCATTTTAATATTGATTTGCCTTGGTGGTTAACCGTTATATGTGGTAAGTGCGTATAATTAAAGATTAAATACAAAAAATTGTTGTTTATAATAGAAATTCTATGATTACTGATCAGTAAAATTAAATCGGTAGGAAAATCAGCATGTTTAATGAATTATTTAATTTGCAATTGCGAATTCCTTCAGAGTTAGATTTTAGCCACAATAAGTTTGCGGTTACTGATGATATTTGTGCCTATTGCTTCTCATCGACTTATGGCACGAGTGCAGTTGTACAAAAAAGAAATTGATGAATTTAAAGAAAAAATGGAAAGTGCTCAAAGAAACGGAAATTTCTTGCAAAGTTTGTCTTTCTTATTTCTAAGTGAATTCTGTGCTTTTTTCAAAAAGTTTTACTAATTTAATCATTTTTTAGTGGAAAAAATTTCTTTTGTCAAGGATAAATCGCTGTTCTAATTGGTTATATAGTGAAATAAGTTCTTTTCAACACTTTCTATACAATTGAGCTTGTCTTCAAAAACTTTTTTCTTCAAAGGTTTGAAGCAACTTCAAATTCTCTTCCTTCTGTTCTTTGTATTTTTATTTATATCAGTGTCTCATAGATAATAGTTGCTCTGCACAGTGTTTGTCTGTCATTAGTGCCGGAACTTTTTTGCTGGAATTTTTCTGCTTTGAAATATAAATGTTAATATGGAATAAAAGCTTTATTAATCATTAGGATTTTGATTTCATCAGAATTTTGTGAATGAGTGTATTTGTCATATATTTTAATAAATCGCAGTCTCAAGAAATGTGGATTTCAGCAATGGAAACTCAAAAAGAGCTGAAAGATTTCTTGAAAACGAAAAATATTAAGCTATATCGACAGTTTATATTTATGAGTCTCAATGGCGCTATCTTCATGACACAGTTTATTGCAGTCAAAAAAATGGCCGATGTTGCGTAAGCTTCAATGTTAGATATTGGAAATGAATTACCCTGTTTAGGACAATAAATATTGTTTTTATTTTCTGTCTTCCTTATCTTTTTGTCTCTTTTTTCAGTTTTCCTGGTATGAGCACCGGTGGTTTGTACTGGTTCAAAGATTTAACTGTACCGGATCCCTATTATTTGCTACCATTGGTTTCTGCTATCACTGTCGCTGCGGTATTTAAGGTAAAACCAAATGAAATATTTATCAGAACATGCAGCGGTGTTTTTAAAGGCTATGGAAAAATCTTATATTTTTAGGCAATTTTGAATTTGTACGCTAATTATTAGAGAGAAAATTTACTTGGAAGTTTTATAAAAGTGCCACAAATTCAAGTTTTAGTTCTAAAAGCTAAGAATGAAATTTAAATTTGAAAAAAGACGTTGTATGAATGGGAAATATGAATTCCAGAACAACTTTTGCTTTTTTCACTTTTTTCTTTTTTTTCGTAATCTAGAACTTTTTTCCGAATAGATCGGAGCCGAGACTGGTGGAACAAACCAAGGTGTCAGTCCGCAAATACAGAAATTACTGACAAGAATCGGACCGATTATGGTTTTTGCATGTAGTACTAAAGTTTCTTCGGTGGGTTTGAGTAATTTTCAAAAAATATGTAATTTTCGAAAAAAAAATATTGAGTGTAAAATTTGTAATGCATGGGTTTCTCAATAGAACTTTTATTTTTCTGAATTTCAAATATTTGGTGTGAACTTATCACTAATATGTCTGTTCCTATTCCTCCTCTCTTGTTTAACCAATTCATTGTCGCATTCTGCCGATTGCACATTTATCTTAAAATAAGGTAAATTTGCAATATTTCAATTTTAAAAGAATTTGTAACATTAGAATTTCAGGTTATAGCCTTATACTGGTGTACATCAAATATGATCTCAGTAATGTTTTCTGGAATATTCAAGATTCCATCAGTTCGTGCTTTCCTAAAAATACCTCAGTTACCATCGAAGCAGGTGCAATTGTATAAGAAAGCACTTAATCAAAATATAAATCACGACACTATGCAAAAGTGAATCTTAAGAATATTTATTAGTTACGTAAACAGTTAACTAGATTTTATTGTTACTGATCTATTCTATTTTTAGGCAAAATAAAGAGACATTTACTAGGAAGACAAGAAGTGTCTCTGATGAGTAGAAATCTCTCAGTGGAATACAGAAGGTTGTTTTCATATATTTCATAGATATGTAAAATATTTCTAGTTTTCTTTTTTTTTTCTGATAACGTTTTAAGACCTTACATGCAGTGTTTTAATTTTACTGTCTTCTTTCATTTATGTTTTATCAGTTTGTATAATTCATGTATGTTTCAGAACTGAGAAGCCAATGGAACGAGGATAGCATAGTTGAAAGAAGAGATTGTTATATGACTGTATATTTCAAGTGTTTCAAAATATATGGTTGTTAATTCTCCTTGATTTCCAGACTTGTATTTTATGAAGTTGGGTTACAAAAAAAAAAAAAAAACAAATCAAAATTAATCTTTGAAATAACTTAGAACTTCTTTTTCAGTAATAATGTTTGTAGTTAATTATAGAGTGATTTTTTTGATTTTGACTTTATTTTAATCTTTTATTAAATGAATATTATCACATAGTGATGAAATTCAATTTTAAATATTTTCTTACATTTTTTTCCAAAGAATTTATTCTATTAATTTCGGTATATGAATGAGTTAGTCTGGATTCCAAGATGACAGCACTTTATTATATGTGTGTCTAATTTTGTTGTTTCTGTTTAAATATATTATGAAAAAAAATTTTAAACAAAACGTTTTGTTATTGAATCAGTTTAAGGCGTACTTGAAATTTCTGTTTTACAATATATATATTCTATTGTTTCAGGTTGATTAATACATTAAACATATTAATTATAATTATGGATTGACGCCTTTTTTTATTTATATCTTTTGCTTAAGCTGATGTTCATACATGTTTTTATTTAACTACGCTATTATACGAAACGTGTAGCACGAAGATTACGTGACTGTTAATACGATTATAACTTGGCGCAAGTAAAATTTGTAACTATGTATCAAGTGAACGATTTATTAATGAATATAATTTTTAGATTTTCAATTCGCATGGTGTGAAATTTCAATAATCGCTTTTGTCTGAATTATTACTGGGATGGCGGTAGCACTTTCCCTTAGTGGTTCTCGTCTTACAGTTCAACGCTTTTATGTTGCAATTAGTTCTGCTGCTGCATCAACGGTTCGCCGTTCTAATTTTCAGTCACAGAATTGCGTAGTTGGTGTTCGCCATGCATCCACGGCGAAGGATATCTTTGTCGTATCAAATGATTCTCTAACGGTGTGTTAAAATTAATTGAAATCTGTTTTTATTTCTAGCATAAAAGAATTCCAATTTTGATATAATTCATTATTAGCTTTAGTTACCCGGAGAATAGGAAGAGTTAGTTATAGTCAACTAATAATTTTTTGCTTCACTGAAACGGATAAATATATCGTTAAAAAATGCAGTAGAATAATTAGAACAAAATTTGCTCAGAAACTCATAACAAATTAAGTTTTGAGATGAAAATTTTCTTTTGACCAAGTTTAGCTTAGAATTTAGATCTGTTCTTTGCCAGTAGTAATATATATAGCAGAATTTGTTAAAACAAGAAATGCAGATGAGTGCCCGAATTTTAACTTCTTTATGCGGACTTTTGAAATCTAAGCCACATATTGAATTAAGTTAAAGCTATCGGAAAGGGTTAGGAAAGTTTGCTATTACTTTAAATAAACATTAATACTATGAAGCATTGAATTAATTAAGCTTGTTACAGTCCTGCGAGCATAAAGTCGGTAAGCTAAATTTGAGTCTTATTTCTATTGTCAACTCATTTAAATTTTTCTCATCTGTAATACTACCAATATTTGAAGATTTTTTTAGGGTATACCGGATATCCCGGTAATAAATATGCCTCCGGAAGCAGTAGCCAGCTCAGGCTTTTCTTTTTATGAGAAATGGCTTCTAAAGGTCGATATTTTGGATTTATTCGGTCTTAGTGGTATATCAGCTGTAGAAAGTACTGGGCTTTTTTCTTGGTATTCACCTGCTTCCTGGTATCGAATTGCTTTGGAATTTATCCACAATCATTTTGATCTTCCCTGGTTTGCTTCTATCATATGTAGTAAGCTCTTAAAACTAATCAAGTTGTTCTAAACAAAAAATAGTGATGATTTAATAGTTTAAATCTGAATAGTTTGAAAATATTTTTCGCATATTTTTAGTTCAGCAGTTAAAGATTTGATAATATTTTAATTTTTATAATATGTTATTTCTTTCTTCTTTTATCGTTTACCTTTCATTTTTTATTCTTATTTATTCATGGTTTTCAGCCACATTATGTTTACGGCTAGCATTTCTGCGTGCAACTTTATTCTTACAAAGATTTGCACCAATGAAAATGATGCATGATGATACGTTGAAAATGTTTGATGATAAGAAGAAAGAAGCTCGAGAAGTAGTTCGAAGTAAAGCTTTATGTTAGTTTTTTTTTTCCTTTTTTTACTTCAGATGATTCCATTACCTTTGGATGCGGTGGAAATGCTGCAGATTTGTCCAAGCAACTATATTAGAGACGATATATGATGATTGTGTCATCTTCATCAAAAAAAAAAATTTCAGAAATAGTTGAGATGTCAAAAACATTTATTTATTTTCTTAAGTAATAATTGTAGGTAAAATACAGAATAAAAATATTGTTTGCAATTTCTAAAAATACGATTTAAAAAAAAAAACTCCAATTCTTGATATTTTGTTGTAGTTTCTCAGTTATTTCATAATTTGAATTCATTCTGCTTCTCATTTCATCTGAATAATATCATTTTAGATCGGAAGATTTCGCATGACGAAAATATTTATGTAGACACTTATAATTTAAGATCCTCCAACAGATATTATTATTTTGCGCTCAATTCAGTTTTATTCATTTCTCAATACCGAGGAATTATACTTATGGCAGAGAACAAGTAAGTCTTTATGTTCTGCTTTCCATTTGAACAATGTCCCGATCTCGAATAACGGTAAAATCTCATTTTTTCTTTTCTTTTTTTGGCTAAAGAAGTGAAATGAGATATCACATATCATTTGATTAAAAAAATTTTAATTGGGTTAGGTTTTTTTCGATAAATTTTCAACCAGAATTGAAAAATTAAATGCAATATCTGAAAAACTGGTGTGATTTTATTCTTATGGAAAAATGAAATATTACAGTTTTCCTGGTTGGGACACAGGCGGTGCTCTATGGTTTCTAGATTTAACAACGACAGATCCTAATTTCTTGGTGCCAGCACTCTCATCTGTTCTCATTGGATGCACACTTTTTGTAAGTTAACTTTTCTAGGCAATCAGTTTACATTTTTTAAATAATATTATAAAATGAAGAAATCTTGAATACCATTTTGCAGCTTGGATATGATCCAACCGGTACCGCATCTGCTAACAAATACGTTAAAGCGTTCAAATATGTTGCAGTACCAGTTGGTGTATTCTTTTTTAGCTCAAGAGTTCCTGTTGTAAGTCTTTTTCTACACTTTTTCACAATGCTTCATGAAATTTTTCTGATATTTCTTATATCAAAAATGTTTTGCATATAAAATTGAAGATGAAAATTTATCTGAGATACTAAAATAATAATAGCCTCACCTTTGGTAAATCCAATAAAATATTCTTCCGCAATTAAATGCTTTTATTCATATAGCTTAAACTATGTATATTAAAAGTTTAAAATAAAATTTGATACTAATCTGATACTTTATTGTGAATTTTTTAGGCTGTTTCAATATACTGGTGTGCTTCAAACTTTTTCAATCTTTTGTTAACAACAACTCTACGCGTGCCTAAAATCCGTTATGCTCTCGACATTCCATTGAAAGTGACTAAATCAAGTTCCGTGACGTTCCAAAAAGCATGGAAGCGTGCATTCGGTAATCTTTTCTTCGAAGTTTTATACGAAAAGTTAAACTCATTACCAGTTTAATTTCAATGGTTTGGATAAACTAAATTAATTATCCTGTTATACATGTATATTAATGTTAGATGAAAAACAGTGGTGAAATTTTAGATTTTGTAGATAAAATCTCCCTGAATTAGAAGTCATGAAAAAAGTAGAGATATTTGAACAGTTATTCTTATCTCTGTTTGAATAATGTGCTGATCAAACTGTAGATATTTTGCGCCTCGTTTCTTCAGGTTGGAAGAAAGAAACTGAAAAACAAGCTCGATCACGACCTGTAATGTGGGAAATAATGCAGAGACAAGATCTAGAAAGATTTGCAAAAGCTGGTAGACCAAGTGCTGCGAAGTGATAATTAATGAATTGATGGCTTGTTTGCTTTTGCTGTAATTTTGTTGATGGTTTTTTGAAATTGTCTACAAACAGGTTTTTGATTTTTGCAGTAAATTAATCAAATTTGAAGCAAATAAATAATTACTTCTGGATAATCTTGATGCTTACTTTAGCCACTTTACTGTTCTCAACAAATGTCTATGAAATAGCAGCATTTTATTCTTGAAAGACTTAAATTTCATAAAAATAGCATAATTCATTGCGCTTCAGATAAATTTCCATTGCACTGAAAGGATTTCTTTTTTTACATGAATTTTGACAATCAATTTGCCAGATTCAATATTGCACTCAGCATACAAAATTTACAACAGATACATACCGGAATATACAGAGAAGATCATTCAAATATTCATTATTAATCGTCCCAACTATGTTTTTTTTTTTTCTTTTAAAATTTAATCCTTAATTTATTTAACTGTTCTTGATGATCAAAAATTCCTTCAAATTTTGTTGGCAAATATTTTGAATGAAAAAAGATGACATAGTTAAATTTGAAATAGTTCCACAACAAATTTATAACAATAGCTAAATAAAATTTTTAACCTGTGATTTTTTTCAGTAAAATAAGGAACGAAAAAATGTTATATGGTTTTTCAGTGTTGAAACAGTTTAGTTTTACTTTATTTTACATAATATATTATCCCTTCAGTTATCCC